ATAGCGCCCTTGTTCTTTACTGTCAACTGTTCGACTTTCAAAATAATCAGGAAGTTTTGGTAAGTTTTTGGTATCAGTATGAATTTACAAAGAAATGATACAGAATTACAGTTAAATTCATTTTACATCAGAAATCATAAAATTTCTTTTGATATTCTAAAAGGATATATTTAGACTTTAGGATTTTCTCTTAGATTTCCCTTACATTGCTTAATACTTGAATTGTTTCCAGAATTAGACATCTCTATTTAGGACACGTTTATATGATTTGAATTTAAGATTCTTTCCTCGTTTTAAGTGAGTAAAGTACATAATAATTATGTATTATGAAGAGCTGAAAATTCCAATGTAACATAGAACATCTTTTGTCAAACTTAACGTGGACTATATGAACTCTTCTTGTCAGGTTATTTCAATTAAAGGGTGGCGGAGTATATTATCTTCCATTTTTGTTTCGATTTTTTTCGTTCACATTTTTGTTTCTGCCCTTTTCCCCAATTTTTTATTAAAGGTACACAGATAATCATACATATACACGAGTAATTTAGCTAACCATTATCATTGCATTTTGCTTACAAAATCTAAATAGCCTCTCAAGATATGAAAAAAGAAATCTTCAGATTAATGGAATGAACTTACATGAAAATTATTAAAATTAAAATGACTAGAATGATTGAAATTCAATGACTATGATATTCTTCACTACGTTAAGTTAAGCATCTGTGTTTGTAATGAGGGCACGAGCTCTGTTCTTGTCAGTGTTTACTGTTTACCGGTGTGTTCAATTTGCTAACTGCACACATAACTGAACACGAACTGACAACACTGGTGTATAGATTTTACTTTCTCATATTTCCCCTCTGAATTTTCTGGATTATATTTTTAACATTTTTCTTAAATACACAACAATTTTTTTCACTTTCTTTAAATACTCAGGAACAATTCTACTTCACGGATGCACAAGAACGTGTGTAAATAAAACGCGTCGCGAAATTCGCAGTTTTTATAATTTTTAGAACAAAGATTTTTATTAGAAAACGTTAATGGTAACCTAACAATAATTTTTTGATGAACGTGATGACTCCAACTTTTCTGTCTTTAACTTTATTTATTTATGTAGCAATATACCCTTATCTCCTGCATATGGAGTTTATGTCTCTAAATTGATTCGTTATGCAAGAGCATGCTCCATGTACGCACAAATTCTAAAACGAGTTGATGAAAGAAGAATATCAACAGTCTCGTTTGAAGTCAACATTTCGAAAATTCTATAATCGACACAATGATCGATGAATACAATCTATCATTAAGTCAAATGCTAATAATAGGCCATTATTCACACACTAAATTGTCTACGATTCTTTTTCCGTTTGCCCGATCATGACAAGGTGCACACGGCGGGTGTGACCCGTCGATAGGGGATGCTTATTCCTCCATGGCACCTGATCCCACCCCTGATGCTTTTAGAAGTCCATATTTGCTCTGTTCTTTCTATTGTTTCAATGGACTATTCAGCTTGATTACTGTTCGTTATCTCCATATTTCATTGGTCATCCACAAAATTTCTTTGTTAAAAGTCCTTCTGACTCTATATACAAGTACTCTGAAGTTGTTTATGTCACTCAACTGATTCGATACGCAATAGCATGCTCTTAGTAAGATCAGTTTTCAACGAGGCAAGCTACCGACAAATGAGTTGATGTTATAATGCTTTTCACCCTGTTTAAGTACAGCTTTCTGCAAATTCTACGATAGTTATAATGACCTACTTTGTAAATTCAACCTATCGTTGGGTCGTATTTTATCTGATATGTTTCAAACTGTTCGTTAGGTCCTTGCTTCTATACTTAATTTGACTACAGATTTCTCCTGATGATTGACAGGTCAGCTAGGAATACTTCTTTTAAGCACCTGATCTAGTGTTTAGTGTTTGGTAGTTTAGTAGTAGTGCTAGTTGTTTTTGTTTCTCTGTTTCCTTTGTTTTAATGCCTTCTTAACTTTTTTCTTTGTCCTGAGGAAGGGACAGATCGTCCCGAAAATTTGACAATTTTTATTGTTCGTGTCGTTGGTCATTTTTAGTGCTTTATATAAATTTCCATCCGTGACCTTGTATCTACATAATAGATCCGACACTTAGGATATACATACATACATATATATATATATATATATATATATATATATATATATATATATATATATATATATATATATATATATATATATATATATATATATATAATACAAATCTAAGGGCTGATGACATGTCCGTGCTTTCCAGTTAACAGTAAATTTACTTGTATTGGTTTTCATTGCCAATATTTATCATTGGAAACCAAATATAGTGGTGTTGTGATTGTAAGGGTCCTGATAGTTTTCGATTCTCGTCTCCCTGACGACTCTCTTCTTTCATGAATTAGATACCCTCAAGTGATGTTTGAATGGAAATCAAGTTGGAAAAAAGATAGCATCATCAAACAATTGAAAACATCATTCAGATTTATTAGGATTCCACAAAATAAAAAATATATGAAGAAGTAAAACTGACGTAAAAAAGAGAAAATATTTATGCTCAGGAATTCTCTCGATCGATCGATCGATCGAGGAGTACTTCAGTGGTATCCAAGAGCTCGAAAAAGCTTGTAAATTGAGCATAGGGTTCGTAGAAAGCTTATTCAACGAACAATAACGAAATTTTATGTCATTGGTACGCAAGATAACTCTTTCAACACTATTTTACTTAGAATATTTTAACTAGTTGCCTCCTTTTGTACACAGTGCCATATAAGTTACAAATGGATCTGAAGTTTGAAAACTGAAATTAAATAGCTTTGATGACCTGAGTCACTCAGGTGAAATAATGTTGTTTTTGTTCGTTGTCGTGCGATTTGCGTCTTCCGTCTTCAGTCGACCGTATACATTTGAACATTTTCTGCTTCTTCTCTGTAACTGATGAACCAATAACAACCAATTTTGACATATAGCATCTATGAGTAAAGGGGATCAAAAATTATTAATTCCATGGTCTCTCTCCCTCAGGGCCTGAAGAGTGGAACTAAAAGCATCAATTTCAATTCAATCTTTAAAATTCAATTTTACTCCTGGACATAAAGCAGTCAAAGTAATGGCATAATTGCTTTCATAAACATTAATCCCTCTTCTAAATTTGTACATTCCTGGTCCAAGTCAGGGCTTCTGGAGTTAGGACGGAGTTCTATTGATCATATAGTGAAATGCATCAATTCTTTTCCAAGTTTCTTCTCTCCCCTTGTATATTTTGAAGACAAACTATGTACATGGATAAAATGAGTAAGCGTGTTTCCTCCAAAATTATAAAATTGTTAAATTCATGGCCCCTGTGTCAGGGATCTGGTTTCAAGGCGGGGCTCTGTTGATTCTTCTTCTCTGCTCCTATGTTTTCATAAAAATCCTTACAAACAAAGATAAATAGAGAGTTCCAGCTGCCTATGATGTTTTAAAAAAAACCTAGACTTTAGTTAATCTTGTGGAATGTTGGTATAAAGTATTGAAAGGTCGTATGTTTTGACGTTATTGAATTTGGTAAAATTTTGTGATTTCAAATTGTCTAAAAGTTTCCTAGAGTTTTTAAGTCTCAATATCTGATTTCCACCACTCCTCGAATAAATTGTTGTACAGTGCTCCTGAAGTTTCCCCTTCACTGCTGTTAATATTTTGATGAGGAGTAAAGAATGAGGCTTGGTAGAACATTTACTGGAACCCGCTATGTATCTCTGTAAGGATTTTTGTGTAGTTAGGAGTCCAATATAGGTATAATAATTCAAATTCAATTTGATTGTTGGGAATATTAAAATATTTAAAACTGAAATATGATTTTGAAGAATTTCCTCCTTAGAAAGGAAATATGAGTATAAGTTGGATTACCACTTGCAGAATTAATTCCAAGTTTCTCTAAAACACAATTAAAATAACGAGCCTTACAAAGACAATGTTGTCACCTGCTTTGTCAGCTGGGACCAGAAAATATTGATCATGTACTCAAAAATAAGGATAAATAAATTACCACCAAGAATTGCACATAGTATAATTTCCTGTGTATAAGGTCTAATATATTGAATTTCGAATGGGAGAGGACTATCTTAGTTTTTAGAACTTGTGTCCAATTCCCTTTGATATATTTGATCTATAAAGGCCATGCCTATTAAGAACATTATTTGTGAAAACAAAAATGTCGTTGACTTTTAAGTATCTAGATTAAAGAATTGAATTTGAAAATGATATATGTATCACCCTAAAAAGAATTCCAAAATGCAATTTTTAAAAATTATTATAGAAACCTTTGTAATGTTTGAAATGTCTTTAATTTAGTATGTTTTTTTTTCTTTTTTTTTAACGCCTCTTTCGAGAATTTTTCACTCATATCGAGACGCCAACATTTGTCGGTGAAGGGCTTTAAATTTAGACCTTTACTTGGCACTTAGGACCACTGAACAGTGAGGGGTCTTTTTCGTGCCAGCACCTACTGTAACACGGGACCTTGGTTTATACGGTCTCATCCAAAGGACCGGTCTCCACATCCCGCAGTGGGATTCGAACTCGAGACGTAAGGATCAACTCCTTACTCTGCGACTCTATAGCAAACTCTCTAACCGCTGCGCCACGCCGGCGACTGTATGTTACTAGTGCTTGGTACTGAATGGACAACGGATTTTTAAGAAGGAAGAGAAATATGCATGTACTGCTTAACAACTTGGCTGAAAAATATCTTATGTCAGAAAAATGATGCATTTCACTATCAATACGAAATGTTTTAGCTCACCATACAAAATAAACTTTGCGAGATGTTGTTTAATGTGTTGTTTAAAACACCGCAGTTAAATCCAAAGGTAAATTAGACACACGGGACGTTGTATATATACATGTGTATCGACTAAGATTTTTATAAAGCATTATCGTAATCAACGAGGAAACGACTAGATAACCCAGAAACGCTCTACTGTTTGCTCCGTGAATAATTTAAAATGTTAACAAAGATAGATGAAAACAAGGAAGTAAAAAATCACAGCAAACTGTATGGTAATTTGAATTTCTTTCTCATTTAATCTGATAATTTTTCTATTATTTTGACATGAATACACGGGTATGTTTCAACTATAGTTAAAGCGGTATATAATACAGTATTTTTCTTAAAACAGAACCAGTTAAGCTGTCTTTAGACATTGCAATGCATCAATAAAGAAAGATTATATATATATATATATATATATATATATATATATATACAAACACAGAGAATGTGTTACAGCTGATGGGGAAGAGAACAATATTAACAAACATAATTCAGGCATTCCAAATAACTGAATTGCTGATTTTGATCCTCCATAATGGTTACGGTAAATCCATTTACAAGTTTTCCATACAATTTCAATTGTCAGTACATCTATGAATATAACTGATATTCAAATCCAACATTATAGGAAACTATTCTTCTTGTTAATTCTAATTCATTATGCCTTGTTATATGTTTTTATCATTAATTTATTATCATCGTTATTATTTCAGCTTCCATAACCCTGGCAGTATTACCGTCCAGTATTGTGGAAGTGAATCAGTCGGTGACAATACAGTGTACCTTCCCACAAACAGAACTTGCTGCCTACTTCTTCTCTACTAAAAATTCCTTAGTAGCTTTCTGCTCTCTGGAAACATTCGAAGGAGTGTGTAAACAGGGAGATTGTGCTAGGCAATACAATACAGCATGCCCTAACTCTACAAATTATAGAGTAGAGTACCCTATCCCATTAAGCTGGAATGGAGAAAGTATTTCCTGTAGAGGGCTATTTGCAGGAAACGAAAGAAGTAATAATGTAACTTTCAGTGTTATCGGTATGTATTTCAGACTCAACTAAGATCCACATCCTAATAACTTAAGTATTCATCGGCAATTATATGTATATTATAGTCTAATTTATTTAAAACTCACACCTAAAGCGTTAGTAATTTCAATAGGTAAGCAGACATAAAATCATTAGGTCCAGCAAATGCTCTTCCAAGCCCCTAATCTTTTCTGTTTACTAAATATTGACTGATGCAAAGGAAACAGTTTAGATGTACTATGCTACAGCATATTCTAAAAGTAGTGTAATTCATGTGGATTCTCAAAAACTCCAAAGAACTTTAAGAAAAATTATATTTTTCAAAAGTCAATAACGTGAAAAGCTACGACTTTTCTACACTTTATACAATAATTCCTCACGATAAATTAAAAACTAGGTTTTTTAATATCATAGACACCTGTTCTTCAATAAAATTGGAACTTGGAATTTTAACATCTTAATTGTTATTGTAAAGCATCACTCTGATTCTACATACAATTATTCAAGTTGATATTAAACATCGATGTAATCTTTGGAGATTTGGTATTTCAACAAACATTTGGAATACCAATGGTAACTAACTGTGCTCATTTAGCTGACCTGTTTTATATCCCTTTTATATACCTACGGAGCAGAATTTATTCAAAAGTCTATACATTAGAAGAAGAAAACACTTGCTGTTGCCATCAACTCGACATTCAGATATATCGACGACGTTTTATCAAAAAACAGTAGTTACTTACATTCATATTTTGACTCAATATATCCCAGTTAATTCGAAATATAAGACACTAAAGAGTCTGCCATATCTGTTTCATATTTGGATGTTTTACCCACTATAGACGATAATGACCAACTAAGAACTAAATTGTATGACAAATGAGATGACTTAGCTTTTCCATCGTCAACTTTCCTTATTTATGTAAGAATATTTCACTATCACCTGCATATGGTTTTTATGTCCCCGAACTTATTCGATACTCAAGAGCATGCTCTAAGTATGATTCAATTTTAAAAGGTTGGCTACTGACAGGTAAGTTGATGTTATAGGGATTTCAACAACCTAACATTTACATAAGTTTTGCATTGTTTGTTGCATTTAAAGCATAAAATAAAGAGAAAGGGCATATTTTTGAAAGTAAGTAAAAACAATATTAGAATAGATTCTTATTTTAAGAAAATATAATTTTTTTAATTAGTTGAAATAAGAGTTTTCAATTCATGAACACATTATTGGCTTTTTATCTGGAAGTAATATTGTAAGAAAAATCTTTGCATCTCAAAAATATAGAAATTGGAGTAAAGACATGTACTAGATAGACAAAAAGGATATAAAATAAAAGGTGTAGTGAATTTTTATCAGAGAAACTCAAAAGGTTATTTTGTAGCACCATACAGCTATGGAAAATTCCATAAACTTTGATTAGGGCAGATTCAAAATCTACATCTTTTTTTATTTTTATGCCCCATGTGAGGTTTTTTTATTCCATAAACTTGTACATGTATGTGAAAATCATTACTTGATCTTTGAATAGCCTTCGTTTGGCCCCTTAGGTAATCTAACAGATTTGCCAGTTTGGTGGATAATTGGTGTTTTTATTATATCTGTTATTTTTAATAATCTTAAAAATCACATTGAATTCTTTTTGCACAATATTTGGCTAAATTAAGGGTTCGGTCACACCTAATTGGAAAGCGCTAATAGACGTCTAACGGATGAAAAAAGGATGCAAAAGTAATTCTTTCAAGAAACTCATCCCTCACCGTTTTTCAAAGCTTCGCAATGAACACTTGAAGCTTATAAAACGTATAAAAACCGTATGTTAAACAGACATGACCGTATATTAAACACACATGTACCGTACAAACAACGATCAATTAACAGACTTTGCCGTGAGTACAATGTAAAACAAATGTACACTGCATGAGAAACTGCCAAAACGGATTTCGAACGTAAGACTAACGGCCGTGCGGTCGATGTTTGATTTATCCGTTTCTTGACCAGTAATTTTACTTTTATTACTTATATCCAGACATTGACGTTAGAAGGACGGTCAACTACAGGAGAAGAAGCGTACAAATCCCATGCCTACCGGACTTCAAACAGATCTACCGTACTTTAAGCGCACACCTTAGTACAGTGGTGTCCGTTACAAGTTTTGAACAAGCTCAAAAATTACAGCCGGATAAAACGAACTTCACCGGACATGGAACGTACACATCCAATAAGTAACGGACAAGAGACATATGCAGAGTCAGTATCATTGTATGAGATTGACAAACAAATAACAAATGTAACAATCAAAGATGCTCCCGTTGAGCTTCCAGACTCCTTCATAGCTACAAACATGATGCAGTATGGGCAGGTAGTTGCGGGCAGCATCAAACATGGCACAATTAAAAACACAGCTATTGAAAACGGCACGCGATACCTGCAAATATTAAACTGTATTCCAACTCTACCTAACAGAACTAAATTTGGAGATCATGAAGTCAGAATTTTCGCAGACAACAATCGCACTCAATGTCCATATTGTGGAAATTCTGATCACCCCTCGTACAAATGTATTAAAAAACCTGTAAACAAACCAATCTGTTACAACTGCAGCAAACAGGGTCATATAGCAAAAGACTGTGAAAACGATCCCGTGTGTAGATATTGTAAGGAACAGGGTCATAGTAAAGAGAACTGTGAGATACTTTCAGAAAAAATGCTAACAAAATATGGTAAATATGCTGCAGAAATTAGCGAAGGCAGAGAGGCCTCACACTACGATTTCAACCAATCCGGATCTGACAACAATGCGGAAGCTGAAAAACAGGACGAAAAGCATGACGAACAGATTGATACTGTAATCTTAGGGGCGTCAAACTGCAAACGAATTCAAAACTTACCGCCAAGTATTTTAAATACTTCGGTCTCCGGATCGTCCTACGAAAACGTTTCAGAATTATTAGAATTTGCAAGAAAAAAATTAGGAGAATCTTCACCTGAAAACGTTATTGTTCACTTGGGGACAAATGACGTAACAAGATGCCGGGATGAAATTGGAGATCTAACAGCCAATGTAATGACGGGACTCAACAAAATTCAAGAAGCCTTCCCCGAAGCGCAAATCGCCGTATGCACTGTCATCCCAAGGAAAGGAAAAAGCGCCGCAATTAAAAAAATGAATGACAATACTTGGCATGTCAATAAATTCATAGAAAAACTTTGTGAAAAAAACGAACGTTTATCGGTTATTGATATATGCAGTTCTTTCATTAACGAACAAGGGCTTGCTACTAAAGTATTTTACGACAGCAATGACCCCAGCGGTGTACATATTAGCAGCGAAGGAGCCGAGAAAATAGCCGACATTTTCTGTAAATACAACTCTGCAGATGATCCCCTTCGAACACCAAGTATCTCCAAAAGGAAGTTAAGTTCAAACACTCCAGCTTCGACCGAAAAGCAGGGTAAAATCCAAAAAATGTAAATACATGTAGCACCCTGCGCTGACCTTGATTCATACTGTTAAAATCACAGGGCATTAATAAGCATACTTGTACATATTACTTGTATATATATGTCTTTTTTTCTTTCTTTTTTCTTTCCTCCTTTTATACTTTTAGAATTTTTTCATTATTGTCATTACGATGTCTTTACACATTGCCTCGATTAATACTAACGGGTTAAGAGATAAGAAAAAAAGAATGTGTACTTTTTCATGGTTGAGTAAACGCAAATACGATATCATTTGTTTACAAGAAACACACGGAACAGATAAAGAAACGCAAAAGTGGGAAAATGAATGGAAAACGTTTAAAGGGTATAACTCTATTTGGAATAATTGGTCCAGCGAATCACGTGGTGTTGGAATATTATTCTTTACAAAAAAACCGGAATTAATAGTAGATAAAATAACATTTGATAACGAAGGAAGGGAAATAAACGTAAGCATAAAATTAAATGATTTCACAATGGAAATTAAGTGTATTTACACACCGAATAATGGGGTGGATAGAAAACTTTTTTTTAACTCTGTGAAATTTGATGAAACAGCAAATCATAAAATCATATGTGGTGATTTCAACTGCGCGAAAAACAATCAGCTTGATAGGCAACCGGTGCCCTTACGTAAAGATGTTGCAGTCTGTGAATTAACTGAATTAATAAGAAAATATGAATTACAAGATATTTGGCGTGAAAGAAATCCGGAAAAAAAATGCTATACATTTCACAGGGGTAATTCAAAATCAAGAATAGACTTTTTCCTTACAAGTGAAAATATATTACATAAGGTAAACAACTGTGCAATTATACACTTTCCATTTAGTGATCACGACTTGATAACATTAAAATTGCAAATGGATAATATCCAAAGAGGCCCAGGACTATGGGCAATGAATGGAAAAAACTATAAGAAATGAAGATTTCCGAAAAACTTTTGTTGATTTTTGGGAAAAATACAAGAAAAGCTTAGACAATTGTCAGGATATTTTACATTGGTGGGACTTAACAAAATATAAAATAAAAATATTATGTATTGAGATGTCAAAAAAATTAAATGTTAATAAACAGAAACTTGCAAAATTAGAAAAAGAATTAGAAAAGATTAAAAACAGTCCTTCAAATGACAAAAAGTCTCAAATCGATCTTGAACAAAAAATCAAAGACATTTATACGGATAAGACAGAAGCTGCAATTATAAGATCTAAATGTAAGTGGTTTAGAGAAGGAGAAGCACCTTCTAAATATTTCTTTCAATTAGAAAAAAATAACGGAGAAAAAAAATTGTGGACTAGAATTAAAGCAGAAAATGGCACTTATAAAACTGACATTGACTCAATAATTGAAGAGCAAATAAATTTTTATTACAAATTACTAAATACTGAGGGTTGGGATAGAGAAAGCGGAAATTTATTATTAGAGACAGTACAATGTAAATTAGATGAGGGTGACGTAAACATGCTTGACAGCGATATAACTGATCACGAGATCTACAAAGCAGTTATGTCATTAAAACCAAATAAATCACCAGGGGAAGATGGAATACTGTCAACTTTTTATCAATTATATTGGGATACAATTAAAATTGAATTTTCAAAAGTAATAAAATATATTTTTCAAAAGGCTATACTCTGTGACTCGCAAACTAAAGGAGTAATTTCATTAATACATAAAGGGAATGAAAGAGAAGATGTAAAAAATTGGAGACCTTTAACTATGCTTAACAACGATTATAAAATTATTGCTAAGATACTCTCTGAGAGGTTAAAGGTTGTATTGCCAAAATTAATTCACCCAGATCAAAAAGGGTTTGTTAAGGGTAGAAATATAAGTGATGCAAATAGATTAATTCAAGACATAATCGATTATGCAGAAAAAGAATATTTAGAGGGGGCAATAATATTTCTGGATCAACAGAAAGCCTTTGATAGGATAGAATGGGGGTGGATAGAAGCCACATTACAGAGATTTAACTTTGGTGAAAAATACTGTAAATGGATAAAAATGCTTCTAATAAAATCAAAAACTTGCATTAAAACAAATGGATTTGTATCAAAATACTTTTCAATATCAAGATCAGCAAGGCAAGGTTGCCCTATAGCTCCTCTACTTTACGTGCTTCAAATAGAGCCTATGGCTTGTGCAATCAGACAAAATCCTCAGATAAAGGGCATCTTAATTCCTGGAAAAGATCAACATATAGAGTGTAAAATAAATATGTTCGCCGATGACACACAGCTATTTAATAAAGATGAAGAATCTATAATAAATTCCTTTAATATTTTAGAAGTATATGAAAGAGCTTCAGGGGCAAAAATCAACTTTTTAAAAACTAAAGGGTTGTTTATTGGAAAATCAAAGGGTAAAATACCAAAATTTAAAAAAATTCAATGGATAAAAACTAACATAAAAACTTAAGGGGTACATCATGGATATAATATCGATACTTGTGCAATATGGTTGGAAAAAATAGAAAAAATTATGAACAGTTTGCATGTCTGGAAAACTAGAAACCTTACATTTAAAGGGAAAACTTTGATAATAAAGAATTTGATAAATCCAATTATTGGTTATGAAATAGAAATGAGAGGAATACCAGATATTTATGCCAAACAAATAAACGACATTATTTGGTCTTTTATTTGGGATAATAAATTGAATAAAATAGACAGAAACGTGTGCTGCTTAAGCAAGCATGAAGGAGGAATGAATATGACAAATATATTTAATTTTATAAAAAGTAAACAAATAAAAACAATTTATAAAATTATGCATTCAAAGTTAGAAACATGGAATGCAATTGGTAAATACTGGTTACAGAGTAAAGATATGCATCCAAATCAAGAATATTACTTATGCACTTGTTCGGATTTATCTCAAATTTCCTTAAATAAAATGTCTAGTTTTTATAAAAAAGCACTTATCGCATATAGCGAATTTCAGTCAAAATTTGAGCCAGAGAGTCGGGAAGAAATACTCAATCTCTCTCTGTTCGGTAATAAACTTATACAATTTAATGGGAAAGCCCTATATGTTGAGTCATTTATTAAAAGTGGTTTTTTAAAAATTAAAGACATTTGGAATGATGAGAAAAACTGTTTTAAATACAATGACACTATTTTTAATGAATTATTAGACAAAAGATGCTGGATTTTTGAATATAGTAAAATAAAAGCAGCTATTCCTAAATCTTTTTATCAAATAATGAAAAGAAACAACTTAATATCCAACAACGAAACAAAACTCCCTTATAAATTGAATAATAATTTACTCATTCAAAGAGGTGCTAATAAAGTGGTAAATAATGACGATCTCAAGTTAAAAAACATAGAAAAAATATTAAACAAGAAAAAAATTCCAAAAAGTCAAGAAAAATGGGAAAAAATATATCAAAATAACATACAGTGGAATTTAGTTTGGGAGAGTATTTCAAGAGTGAAAGTAAAAAATAAAATTCAAGAATTCCAGTGGAAAAGCTTGCATAATATATTGTACACTGAGGATAAATTAAGTAAAATCGGACTTTCTAATGGTTTATGCAACTTGTGTAAAAACCATAGGGAAAATCAACAACACCTCTTTTTTCATTGTACAAAAGTTAAACCAACACTTAAGTTAGTAGAAGACATAATTAAAAATGTGTTACAACTGAAGAATTTTTTATCAGTTGATGAGCAAACAATAATATTAGGGTACTTGAAGGAACCGCAAATTCCAAGAACTTTTGTTAATACCTTAATATATATTTATAAATGGGTCATATGGAAAACAAGAAATAAAGTTAAATATGAGAATCTAAAAGTAAATGACTCAAGTATTAAAACTGCTTTTAAAAATGAAATGAAATCAAATTTCCTATTACAATCACATGATTTTACGAATTTTCAGGAGAAAATGAATCATATTTTTCAAAATCCTATGTATTTTTAATACTAGTAAAAGTCAATATCTGCAGACACACTTACTACACTAGTTACTGTTTAGGTTACTTTAATTTGCTTGTGTCATTTTTTTTCACACACAATAGTAATTGGAAACTTTATGATTAAAATAATTTTAGTATGAATGTTAAGTTCATTGTTTTTCCCAGTAAAATGTAATGTGAAAAAATTATACATATATTCAGAAAATTTGTTTTGCTTTTTGTTTTTCTTCCTCTTTTTTTTCTAAAGTATTGTTTTTGTTGAGCATTATAACATAAAAAAAGACCCGTATTGGAGGGTGACCTGGCCCTCGATACTAGTTACAGCGGGAATGATGGACTCATTTTCTTTTTTTTTTAATTAGAAATTCCCACTGTAACAAGGGTCATGTTTGAATATGTGTATGTGATATTACTATTGTTATAAAAAAAAATTTTTAAACAATCAATTACATGTGCATAAAATCTCCTTTTTTCCAAATGTTTCTTCATTTTCTGAGGTTTATGTATCTATTACTGTGTATTGTGCATATATACATATATAGTTTATACAGATGTTGGTGGCATTATAAATAATTTATTCCTTATTGAATATAGTAGTATAAACAGTTGAATTGATGTGATGGAAGAGTAATACGCCCTGTGTACTAAACAATGTTAATTAACGTATCATTTTAGATTGATATTATTTATCAGTTGATTAAGTGTATTGTCATATTATCTTGGAACTGTCTGTGTATATTATATAATATTATACAAATGAATATACATTTAATAAAAAAAAAATAAAAAAAAAAAAAAAAAAAAAAAAAAAAAAAAAAGAGACATATGCTAACGGAGACGCAAAAAAAAACTCTTCCGTTTAACATCCGTTAGTGCTATCCGGTAAGGTGTGACTGAGCCCTAAAGATTAATGCGTAACAAACTGTAGAATGGCAATGGTTTTCTTGTGCTTTTTTAAAGTGCCAGTAACGTCAGTGACTTTGACTCCTACCCAGGTGACGATTGATGCCGGTAAAAATATAGCTTTTACCTGTCAGACAGATTACTGCAACCCAGCAGCAAACATCACGTGGTACAAGTCATCAATACGTTCTATTTCCACTATGGAAGAGTTATACTTCTTAGTGAGCTCTTTTGTGAAAAAGTCGGTAAATGTACAAATCTCGCGGGATTTCAGGGACAAACGTAACGTAAACATGTAAACAGTATGTTGAATGTCGATGAACAAATCCTAAGAAAATGCAAATGAAATATTTTATTGTTGTGGACTTTATATACATCAAGAGTAGGAATGACAACGATATCAATTTATATCTATATTGTTGATCGTATGTATCTATTTATCGTATGCTACATCTAAATACAATATACATGCCTCGGAAAAGTCGTATTTTTTATTAATGGATGATAAATTTAGGGTTCTCGCTCTCTTACATATGTCTTTTAGTTCTTCCATTCTTTAATTGGAATGACAAATACATTTAACATTAAAAATCGGATTGAGATTGGCATGTTTTGTATTATCCGCAACGCCATGCTGTCCCTGTCAGACGACCAAATGCGCCTCTAATTTTGAAGAGTTCACTAATGGAAATATAACGTATTGACGTCACCAGTCAGGCCACATATTCCACGGTCACTGACAGTAATGGCCTAGTGAGAACGACTTCATTTCTACAGTATACAGGTGTGGCTGGCGACAATGGTCAACAGGTGTACTGTAAAGCCATGAACAAGAGAGATCAAAGTGTCACATCAATACGACATACGCTGAATATCAGGTGTACGTTATTAATGTTTGAAATATTCATATTGTAGAACTAAAGCTTAATCTATAGTTGAGCAGGTTTTTTTTTTAATTTTATAGAATTTCAGGTCAAGCATTGTTAAAAGTTAAAGTTCATTTCTTTGTTAGTTTAAATCCAATCCTCCAAATCTTGTGTTAATTTGGAAAAGTGTAGAATCTGTTCAATCTGCAAGGACAAGACATCACACAATTTACAACTAATTAAGCGATTATTACACTTCAAACACATTGTTCATATTCAAACTAATCACTGGTATTTCTTGTGAAGATCTTAAACATACTGTTCAAGTGTTTGGATCAAAATGATGTAAAAAAAAAAAAAAAACGGAAAGAAAAGTACTGTTTACATATGTTAATCTTAATAATGTCATTCTCGTATCGTATATTAAGAAAAACAATCACCAGTATTATCATACATATTGATTAGTATATCGATATCACTGTTTCAGTTATCGCGGAAGTACGCATCTTTCCATCTCGTGTTTTAAACTTAGTTGTTGGACAACGACAGATATTCCTACATTGTTTTGTGGAAAATGCAAATCCGGAAGAAAACATACAGTACAGATGGATAAGATCAGATGGTCCTAATTCTTCTATTGTCTCGGAATCTCAAACATACGTTATAAAGACTGTCAGTTTTGACGATAGTGGTAGATATATCTGTACAGCAAGGAATTCTGCTGGAAACTCTAGTGGCATTATTGACGTTAGTGTGCAATGTACGTTTTACTTCTCTACAGCTTAAATTATCACTTTATAGAACTTACATACCCGTAATTTACAAATAGAGTTCTTTGAAATGAAAGCCCATCTATTTTTAATGAAAGAATGTACATTTATTGGAAAAATATCATTTTTCTCTTATGATGTATTTTTTTACAAGGTTTATCAATTTACGTTTTAGTTACTCCTCTGGCACCCAAAATTGAATATGTTGTATGTAAATCCACATTTGCCACCGTTATTTGGACGACTCCTTATACAGCCTATAACGATGTCAAACTACAAGAAATACTTCAGTACAGCGAACTAAACAAAACATTTGTAAATGTAACTAATGAGCAACAGAATAGCAATGAGGCCAGCATTTATAACCAGAAAGTGACCACGCTGAAGCCTAGAACAAATTATACATTTAGAGTGTTGACTTCAAACCAGTATGGTGTTACTCTTTCTAACACTATGTCATGTGTTACAGACCAAGAAAGATTGGAAGGTATTTTTAACTTATTCATTTATTCCTCCACATAATAAAACGTGTTTGATAATGATTCATTTTATTTTATATTGTAGAAAGTTATCAAGGTTGTGACAAGGGGGAGATAATCGGTGGAATAGTCGGCGGATTTGCACTTTTCCTTATTTCAGCAATGTGTGTCGTTATTTTGTACAAGCTCAGAAAAAGAAAGAGTACAAAAGGTTTGCTTATTACATCTGTACATGAGATGATCACAATTTCTCTGATTACTTTGCATTAATCTTAAGTATTTCAAAAGTTCCTTAAACATTATGAATATCTAGAAGTCGTGTTTTTTTAAATCTTTTTACTAACCTGCAATGTCACATTCTCACATTCACCATGAGCACTATGTATAAATCAGGCAGACTGAATAAACTGTAGTCAAATTTAGTATGAAACAATGGCCGAACAATTGGAACAATTTGATATGGAATGTTCGTCAAAATAGGACCCAATAATTAGTGAAGAAAAATGAGAAAATATAGATATATCTGTGAAAAAAAATAATAACCCAAAAAGTACTTGAAATTTATTAATGACTCATTTTGATTTAACAAAATCTTCTTTTATTTCATTTTAGGCAGATCGGCGGAAAAGTAATGTATTCATTCTATCAAATTTTTATGAGAGAAAGAGAGTTATATATGTAATTTTGTTTTCAAGAAAATATAGATAATACATGTAGTTATATGGTATCAAGCTTGCCAGGGTTACACGTACTTCTACTGCGACATTGTCCATAATAAATCTTTATATTTGGAGTAGAAGTATATATGCATCGTTTAAATTATCAATACTACTACATCTGCTTTCGAATTCTTTTAAGTAGAAATCAAAGTGCGAGTTACGTGGATCAGTTTTCCAAGCATGAAGTTCACCAGTATGAGGGAATTTCTACTGACACAAACAAAGGTTAGGTCTTAGTCTTCAACGCAAAAGAACTAGAAATTGACACATTACTGAAATCTTAATTGTTTACGTTGAAATTTTATTAAACACCTAGATGTTTTAGATTTTTTGTGATCGATTCTTACTTTTATATGAATGAGAGTATTGTAGATTTGTACACTGAATTAAATAAACTTAACTAACTTTATCGCATTGGTAAGATCTCTCATTAATCTTACTCTGAAATTCTTACCCCCTCCCGACCCCTTCCCTTTAGAGTTTTAATTGTCCGTAAAACAAGTCATTATCAGTTGAGTCTTTTCATAAAAGATATACTTTAACATTTTAATTCCTTTTTAGAAACGTTGAAGAATAATGTTTACGAAAAAATTGAAGGTAATTCAGAAAAAAGCACTCGCGACGAATAATGGTGTTTATGTCATTGTTTTATTTTCAAGCTTTTGTTTTTTGACGGGAAATGATTCTTTATATATTCTTTTTACAGCATCTACTCCTACAGATAAGAGGTAAACTGTTCATACAAGCAAAATGTAAATATTTAATGCTAAGTACTAACTAATTTTAGGACAATTATTTTAACAAGATTATATCCATATCTCTTATATTTTCAACTTCCCTTGAATTAAGTGATCACCTACAGTGTATGGGCATTAAACAAGGAAGTTGTTTGCACACTTGATAACGTTATTTGAAACCACATCTATTCACAGTTTATCTACATCGAAATTCGATGCCATAAATAACAGCTAGCTCATATTTAAGCAATAGCTATCACCTACTCAAATGTTTAAATGGTTCATGAGATGAATTTAAAATCTTAGAATAAAGAAACACTAGCAGTTGAGACAACTAGTTATATGTCAATGTACCACTGTATTGAGTCTGATAGGCAATTGTTACATGATAAGTTACAAAAATGGCATTTTTCTAAGATTTCTTAAGTTCAGATGTGCAAAAATCCTTATGTAGTGTAATTATCTCTAGAGATCTATGATAGTTGATGTAGACCCTTACCTCAACATGATAAGGAAATTAAAGAATCTAAATTTTTCTATACACAATTCTAGCTATGGATAGAGAAAAGACTCCTTATGAACAAGTTTTTGATTATGTTATCCATGTATAACCTTGCTGTTTCAGAGCTGAATATATGGAATTAAGTGATTCGTCATACACAGACAGAGACAAATCGGCAGAAGGTAATCTGTATCTTTTAAATATCAATTAATTCAGTATCAATCAACTTTTTTATCTACACTTCCCGATGTTTTTTTTCATGTACAATGTAATTTGATAGTGTGCCTTAGTAAATTAATTGCTCTTTAATTTCATTCTGTTTTTAACGATCTACAGTTCTGCTTTTTTAAAACAATTTTTATAGAATTTGTCCAAATTTAATTTCTAGAGAGTGACAAATACTCTTTGGTTGTTTAAGTTTTTCACTATAATTATTTGTTTATTTATACATTTATGGCAATCGGGTTAAATCATTCCTAAATGATCGACTTCTTCTTTATTCCAGTCGCCAGTGGATTGTACTCAAATACAAAATAGCATGTAAGCATCAATTTTATGAAAACATCTTTTTTATTTAAAAAAAAAAATCTAGTCTAAAACAGTAACCATTTGAGTAATGTTGATCGCCTTGAATAAATGTATGTTAGTTTCTGTTTTGCCTGAAATTCAACTTAGCTTTTTCATAGTCATTATCAACTGGAGTTTTTTGTTTTTTGTTGTTTTTTTTTTTTTTTCATGTTAATGTATGCAGATTTCTACTTTTCACCTGAAAACGAAAACAAAAAATACACCAAAAATGAATTTTCTTAAATCTATTTAAAGGTGCACAAGAAATAAAACAAAAGAGGTCAAGGATTTTTATTGCATTACTTTTATATTTTAAAGGGACATAATCTACCAGCATATGCTGAATATCATAGCTTTGACAGAGATTGAGCTTATTTTTTTAATTTTCAAAGAAATGAATGGTAATTACCAGATTATTTTTACAATAAAGGAAATTAGTTGTTTTAGTCCTGGCATATAAATATAGTTTCTCTTGAGGATGGGGGGTCTGTTTATTCAAATACACTCTGTTCATAAGAAGTCGTCAAATGTGCTATTAAGGGTAAGATGCAATAAAAGTGGAGAAAAAATTGGTTTAAAGTAAGACTTTAGGTAAGCATGCTTATAACGAATTATTTCTTATGAACAACCAATCGTTTATGACCTCTTTTTGATGCTTTAGATATTTTTTATCTTGACTTTATGACTTTACTAAGCTTCTTAATTCATACACTTTGAAACTTAGCTATACACAAAAGATACAGTTACAGGTGTAAGAAGGATTTATTTTTCGAGGAAGAAGAGAGTCAACCTTTATTCATCTCGACTTCATCTCCATCTCTCGAGAAAAACAACACAAAAATGTATCTGGTCATTAGATCAATGTCCTTAATTGCACAGTTATTGCGAATTTTCTTTTGACAATTAGATTACTTTTTTTCATTCTTCTCGGGTACCTGGCTTTAGAGATAAGTCCTCTTTAATTGAATTTATCATTTGAAAAAAAAAGATTAAAAGAACAGTAACAAAATGACTTTTGAACCAATTGAATCGTTGACGTAGGCATACAACAACAAAAACAAATACGCGATACAGCTGTAACATACACGGGAGCATGTTATATTAATTCATTTATGATTTGATAAAATCTCGATATCTTTATGATGCAAAGTCCAATAGAAGTATTTCTTTTTAGGGGGATATCCACCGGTAAGGGAATGCCAAACAAATTCAGTGTTGATGGTGCTGTCGGTTACCCTGCACATTTATACATCCCTTTATTTGTTGGTCATTGAATATTTTCCAGATCATGGAAAGAGCTATAATTGTATCTCTTTTGATATCTTTGAGATATGACAATAAAAATAATTTATTTCAACTGTCCTATCTGCATTTGTTATCTTTTTATTTCAACCACCAGACTGGTGTATCTTTTTTGAATAATTTTTTTTAAGTTTTAAAGCTTTTCATTCTTATACAATGGTGTAATAGATTTTAATTCTTTTGGTACACATGGTTTTAGAAACAAAGATGCTGTACTTTAAAAGGACATGTATATTGATTTCATCAGCTGTTGGGCTAAAGAAGAAGAAATGAACAATTTTATTATTCCATTTACTTTTGAAGTAATTGTTTTGTAATTAAAGCATCCACTTCCTTCCCGATGTGGCAATTTTACATCCCTTTCTTCCATCGCTATAAAATGAAAAGAGTTTGCTATTTCACAAATTTTGGGGAGTTTTGTGTAAATAACAATACTTTTTGAAAATTAAATATAAACTTAAAAAGGAATTAAATCAAAATATGAGAATTTGAGAAGGGGAAATTTTTCGTTAATGAAAGCTGACGATTTTGATACAACTACCGGTATTCTATTCAATTGTATAATTTAGGGTAAACGTATCAATTATGTTTAGAATTTTGATGTCAATGTTACATATATAATTTTGTAGAAGACTAGCTGCTCATACAAACAATTTGTCTACCAATTTCCCATAAGATGTGGAACGATTTGATTTTCTCTCAAATATATGGCCAACTTGGCCCAACACTTACATGTAGGCATGAACCATGGAGCAGGGGCTATGACATCTGGCTTGGGTGGAGGAGGTATTTATTTTAATCCTGCAAAAGTCTTTCTGTTAGACGTCTGAAGAAAGATTGAAAATTTTTGGAAGGGGTTAAGTATTTTCAAAATACGACTTTCATTGTCTTACTCTGGATCCTGAACCATTGTACTGGGATCCATGAATGTGAAACTTTTGATAGAGGGCTAATTGTCATAAAATGATAAAAGTAGTTTTCCTGTTAAATGTTCGCGAGTATTTAGGAAGATTTTTAAAGAATTAATATTTTCAAATCGTAAGACAAGCAAAGTCTCACCCTAGAACATGAGCCATGAACCCATGGGCACGAATTTTAGCAATATTGGTAAGCGGTTTAGTACTCATAATAACCATGCCAACAGTTTGACTGCTGCATATCCTTTATAAAGGAAGATAATTTTCAAAGATATAACGTCTTTCAATATATACCTAACTAAGCCTCACACTCGTTTCTGAACACTAGACCCCGGAGACATGAATTGTGCAATTTTGGTTAAGTTTATGTACTTATTGCAGTAATGAAAACAGTTTCTAACTAGATGTCAACGGATGGGAAAAGGATGGATTTTAAAGGTTTTATATATGCCCAATATATGACAACTTAGCCCCATCCTAGAACCAGAACTTAGGTCTCTGTTTAGATTGTTTATCGAAATCATGGTAAGAGTTTGTCGACCAAATGTTCATTAGTAGAGAAGATTGTCAAAAATGTTGTTTTTTTTTCCAAACTGACTAAGTAAGCCCTGCACTCTACGGCCTAAACCTTGGTCTCAGGGGCCATGAATATCACAATTCTGTTCGAGTATCATAATCATGAGCATAAGAAGAAAATATTTTCAAATAGATATTTCCAATATTTGACAAATTAAGCTTCACCCTAGGACCTGAACCATGAATTCAGGAACCATGATATTCACGATCGTGATACCGGTAGGAGGTTGAGTACTCATTATTATCAAGCTAACAGTTTGCTCGCTAGATATTCATGATTAAAAAAGATCATATAAGGTGTAATGTATTTTCAGTTTATGACCAACTAAGCTCAACCCTGGTACCTAGACTCTGAACCCAGGGACCATGAAATTCACAATTTTGGTTAAGGACTTGATTATTATAATTATGAAAACTCTTTGACTGCTTGTTGTCCAGAATAATGAAGAAACAATTTGCTGATTATTCCCCATCCATAAGCAAAGAAAACACCATAGAATTCGATATTTTTCTTCCCCTTTGTCCATAAAAGCCATTTACCAAAAATTGGTTAAAATTAGTGCAGCTGATCCAAGGAAGAAACTGAAAATTTTCAAATGTTGACTCACGGCCAGTATGGTATATTCCCTACAACAGAAGCCATATATCTAATTTCAACTAATACGGTAGAGACTTCATTTTTTTATTAAGTATGAAAAAAATTCATATTGGAGAAAAAAACTATTGTGGTTCAGTAAATCGAACAAGGAACTTAAAATACACTTATACACTGTATAAGCACAGTCCTTGATGAAATGTGAAGATAGTAAACAGTGAAAAAGCTAAAAAAAAAAAAAATTCATTTAAGCAATGAAAATTTTGGACAGAGTCAATGCCTTTGAAAACAGAGATGAGATCAGGTGCCATGGAGGAGTAAGAATTCCCCTGAAGACCGGTAACACCAGCCATATGACCCTTGTCATGATCGGGTAAACGGATAAATCCTAGACAATTCAATGTGAAAATGATGGCCCAACAAATTATACTGTTGGAATTCCGAAGGGCACTATTTGTGCTCTTTTATTAGCTGACCTGTTTTTATATTCCCATCAAGCAAAATTTATTCAAAAACTTCTACACGAGAAGAGGAAAACACTACCTGTGGCCTTTAAGTCGACACTCAGATATTTCAACGATGTTTTATATCAATTAACAATAGTTATTTTCATTCGTATGTCGACTCGATATATCGTGTTTGGAGCATGGTTTTATTCCTCATTTTTCAATTCACCTACACACATTATTATGTAATGTTTCATAATCTACCTGTGTGTTCAACTAAATAAAACCATTTCACCCAAGCCTGTCTTACATGTTTTTATTTCTTTGCATCAGCTGGGCTAGTTCTTATTTACGTACAGGAAGAATTAAATGTTGTTTAATTATTTATTTATTATTCGTGTTGATACCTGTCACATATGTGCTTTCGCCACCTGCTGGGGTAAACTCAGACCTGCAGTGCAGTTCTTTGTTTTTACTGGCATTGGCACTGTTGACAATACCCAGATGTATGCACCTATCTAGGGTATGATAATTAAGCTGTAGATAAATACGAGGACTTCCGAAGGTCCCCCACTTCATTCTGACCAATCACAGGTCTTCTATTTCTAGTACCCGTATATCAGTTCAGGAAAAAAACTCACTTGCCAATTTTGGGAAAAAAAATTTTGCAAGGGCAAGGCCTTTTTGTACTTTCGTCCCACCTGCCCTCATCTCACCAATAATGTATGCTTAATTAGTTGAATTTTTAGTTTAGTTTTAGTTAGTTTGTTAGTTAGTTCTTGAAGCATGGTTTTATTCCTCATTTTTCAATTCACCTACACACATTATTATGTAATGTTTCATAATCTACCTGTGTGTTCAACTAAATTAAACCATGGATTCATTTCACCCAAGCCTGTCTTACATTTTTTTTTATTTCTTTGCATCAGCTGGGCTAGTTCTTATTTACATACAGGAAGAATTAATGACTCGATATATCCAAGTGAACTTGAAATAAAAGACACCACAGAGTCTCCCACATCTGTTTCATATTTAGATGTTTTACTGACTATAGACGATAAAGGCCAAATAACAACTAAACTGTGTGACAAACGAGATGATTTTAGCTTTTCCATCGTCAACTTTCCTTATTTGTGAAGTAATATTTTCACCTCCTTATGATGTTTATGTGATTGTCTCCCATCTTAATCGCTACTCAAGAGCTTGCTCTGAGTAAGATCAATTTTTTTAAAGCGAGGCATGCTACTCACTGATAAGTTATTGTTACAGGGATTTCAACAGCCTCGTTTAAAATCAGCATTTAGTAAATTTAATGCCGTTATAATGACCTTGTTAGCAAATACTAGTATAAGATATCATTGGGTCGTATTTTGGCTGACTTGTTTTATACTAATTGTTAGGCCTTCGTTTTTATACTGAATTGACTACGGAAAGTTCCGTCTACCTGATCAACACATGGGACTCACGGCGGCTATTACCGGTTAACAGAGGATGCTTACTCCTCCTAGGTACCTGATCCCACCTCCAATAATTTCCAGGGGTTGTTGTTTTATGCCCTCTTCACACATTTTATTTTTATGTTTATGGATTTTTTTATATCGATCACTGTTCGTTATCTTTACCTTTTACACGAAACACGTCAGTCAATATACGACTTAACGACAGATTGTATTTGCAGACAGGTCATTGTATCGACCATAGAATTTTCGAAATGTTGACTTTGATCGACATTGTTGATATTCTTGTTTTATCAACTTATTTGTTAATAGCTTGTATTGTTTTCGACATTGTTTGTACGTAGGTCATGTTCTTGTGTATCGAATAAATAGTCAGAGAGATATGTGTAATAAACATTACAATTGTTGTACCATTGTATGAAAGATAAAAGAGAGTAAACTGAGGGAGTTTGAAAAAAAAACAAGTATTTCAATCTTCTGTTATTGGGATGAAATAATCATTAATATATGTTTTTTTAGACAATATCAGTTGCAAAATATCAAACTTTTCTGTGCACAAGGTTTTGACAAGGATATTTAAGTTGGTTTTCTTTTTTTATTGTTGTTATTAAACCTTTAGGGCTTAGTCATACCTTACTGAAAAGCAGTAACGAACGTCAAACAAGTGGACACCTTAGTTTGTTGGGGTTCGTTCCAAGTTTTGAAAATGCTCAAAACTTACCACCGGATAAAATGAACATAACCGGACATAAAACGCATTCACCAAAGAAAAAACGGACAAGAAAAGTACGCAAAAAATACAATTCCATCGTATTTTTTGCGTACTTTTCTTGTCCGTTTTTTGCCATACGTTTGACGTTCTTTAGCACTTTCCGGTAAGGTGTGACTGAGCCATGATGGGATTACCTCGTGCCAGGAAAGTCATATGTCGAAAATTTGGGCCAAATTTACTTAACCTCCACATACATTTGTTTCAAAGAATTAAGTTATAAATAATGATTTGAATTTTTTAGTCTAAACTTTAAATAAGGCAGAGTATACTAGTGGGAAGTGTTGTAGAAACATGATAAATGTCACAATATATTAGTAAATCCATGTACAAAACATTTTTGGAATGTTATCGAAAAGTATTTTACCAAATACTCTAAATATCATTCAAGATAGGTCAGGGAAGAATTTTACGATGAATTTTGTTCAACATTATTTCTAAATTTTCTAACAATATATTTATGTATTTCCCTTCCTTCTTTAGCCACAAATAGAACCTATAGTTGTATTACACACTATGTATTTGAGAACTGTGTTTCTTGTTGGAGCTTTTATATCGCTAACGGGTAAGACTTTTGAAAGAGTAAACGTAACATAAAAATAATGTTTCGCAAAACAATAAACTATTTATTTCTACCTTTATGTTTTCATCAACAGATTCCAATAACTTGAATGTTTTGGAAAGAGGATGTGAAATACATATAACATGGAGTTCCGAGGGATATGGAGAATTTGATATTAGAATAACAAAGGAAAATGACAGCGATTTTCTGTTCAATCTTCAAACAAATGATGTGAACTTTATATATCATCCAAATGATACAAATGTAAAATACAATATAATATGGTCACCGATAACAAGAGAAAATAACACCAGAGATCGAGTTCAAGGGCTAACGCTGAACAAAACAGCTAATTTTACCAGTTTGTATCTGTTTTATCTTTTTTTGAGAGCGTGAGGGAGAGAATACTTTTGAATTTTTTCTGCATAATTAAAATTAATAGTAGCTAACGGAAACAAAGAAAACAAAAACTTCATCAAATTTACAAGTTTTTTTTTTTTGAAGCCACGAAGTATAACTTATTTTCTATTCTGCAAAAGAAATTTAAACAAAGTTCATTTTTAAATTATTGAATTTCTAGGAAAAATGTCTTTAAAATGTATTTCAAAAAATATTATCAAAGACATTGATATTTTAACATTGATATTTTACATTTTGCCTTAGAATGTCTGTCACCTATAACCACTTATTCACCGGCCGCTACTACACCTTGTATTTCTGGTGAGTGTCTTGGATTTTAAACCATATGTATAGCCCGTCTTTTTGGCGGATTAGGACTTACACGGCATACCATCAAATTTAATTGAAATCATTTTTGCAACTCTTGTTCCATTCATTTTGGAATATATTAAAAGTGTGAAAGTAATGTTTGTTTCATTAGGTTTGGCAAAAAAAATGTACTCAGGCATGAAGGAATTAATTTTTTTTTTAATATAACAAAAATGTGCATATTCACCCCGAAATCAAACTATACATCTAAAGCATCACCCAAGTTTTGTTTCTTGATCGTTCTTGCAAAGCAAATACAATTGTATAAACAAAGGAACTTCTATTCACTTTTGTGAATCTTTAATAAACATCAAATTAGGCCAATATTATATTCCCGCCAAAAAGATTTATACGGTGTATTAAATCAAGATATCTCTTGATATTTTAATTCAAATTATCGAAATTTCTTACGTTGAGGGAAGACATTTTATTTTTAAGATTAAAAGAAAGCATTACATAATTTTCCTTTTAATGTGACAATTTTAAGATTTTGAACATTAAGCAGACTTCTTTTTATTTAGATTTTTGTCGTATTTATTTCTGGTCATCCGTCGTTACGGTTCCTGTTTTGATAGTGGTTTCTACAGCTATCTGTGTATACTTATACTTGTTCAAAAATCATGGTAAGTAACATATGTTTTACCTTTTGATAATGAGTGCATTCAAAGTAATTATGAATATTCAACAGAATAAACCTTACATGTATGTCATTTTAGGATTAAAAAGAACTAATAAAGAACCTAGCTCAAGGTACGACTTACTTATTTTATTTGGCATGTTACATTCCATTTTTCCTTTTAATTTAGTTATGGGGTAACTTATTGCTTATCATTTTAAAGATATATATTCTTTTTCATTTTGCAGGCCAAACATAAATGTTAATTCTACGTGTTATAACAACCATGGTGCGAACGAATATGACCAAGTGCGTTATTCCCTTATGCAAGACACTAGATTTTAATTATCATTTTTATAAACTTTAGAAAATACTTTTTTCATAACTTGATCATTAAGGTTTGCTCTTAACCATACTTTCAAAGGAATGGAACATAAAGTGATTTTATTCTTCCTTATTTACTTGAAATTAGTAGATTAACTCAGGGCATTGAAAACATAACAACGGGAGCCTTGAGGTAGGGTTTATCAACTCAAAAAAGCCTTTTCTTAAAGGAACTGTAGTAGGAAAGGAGAAATGAAAAAAGAAAATGTATGGCTGGAACCCTGCATCTCTGTAGAACTATTCATGTTCTCTACCACTGAACCAGTCCACCTATGTCGTGTTGCCCTAAATTCCACATTCCTCCCTCCTTAATTAGCAGTATTTGGCCTCGAAGACACAAGTTTACGGGCCCTGTAAGGACTTACTAATTTACATATAATCTGAACACTCCCACCCCACTGATTACGAAGTGTAGTAAGAAAGGAAGTATAAATAAAGAAAATATGAAATGTGAAGAAAACAATTCACAAAAGTCCATTTGAACAATTATACAAATATGAGCAGAACCACTGAAACAGAGGTGAGACCTGGTGGCATGGAGAAGTAACCATCCCCTGCCACCGGTCACACACGCAGTGTGCTCCTGTGCTCATGATCGGGTACACGAAAAATCCTTTAACAAATAATGGATATTGAAATATACTGAAGATATTGAATAAATGTCTTTTCCTAACAATATATCCAAATATGAATCAGATATTTGAGACTCTGTGATGTCTTTCACTTCGAGTTCAAAGGGATATATTGAATCAATGTAGGAATGGAAATAAAAGTTGTTAATTGATAAATCGTCGTGATATATCTAAAAGGCGAATTGAAAGCCACAGCGAGAGAATTTTTTGCTAAGACCTTTTCAATAAATTCTGCTTTAAATGAATATAAAAAATATCTTCTAATAACGGGCACAATTAGTACCAATGGAAATTCCAACAGATTGTTTGAAGACCTGATTTCCGAAAACCACATATTTTCAATGAGAAACTTAAGCATTTATCATTTTAATATCAATCTCGGAGCTCTTGTTTGTAAAATCAGATTTTTTTTAACAAAATAAGTCTGCAGATGACTAATATGACTGGATCGACAATCGAACCCGGCACCCCTGTACTAGTCAGGTGCTCTACTGCTGAACTATCCAGCCCGGTTCCACGGTCAGTGTAGCCCTAACTTTCATTGGAACAATATTTCGAGTTTTCTTTATACCTTCAATAATGAAAAAGATTAGGATAACGTTCTTAAAAAATCTAGTTCTAAAAAAAAATCTACAAACGAGACAAATCTGTGAATAGAGCATAAAACACGTAACCCCGAAAATTCAGGAGGGATCAGTTGCCTAGGAGGAGTAAACATCCCCTGTCGGTCGGTCACACCCGCCGTGAGCCCTATGTATTGATCAGGTAGAAGGAATATTGCGTAGTCAAATAAAGTTTAAAGACGAAGGCCAATTGGTATGAAACACGTCAGCCAAAATACGACCAAATGATAGATTATACTTGCTAACAAAGCCATTATAACGACCATAAAAATTGCAAATGCTGACTTTGGGGATTGTTGAAATCCCTGCAACATCAACTTATCTTTCAGTAGCCTGCCTCGGTTTAAAACTTGATCGTGCTTAATGAATGGCAGATAATTCAAACGTTTTAAAATGCTCATTAGAAATAATATCCATTGATTGATTATAGTTTTTGAACGCTTAGGAGATTATTCAAGCTATACTGTAAAAATAAAAAAAAATAGACTGTATCTTTTCCGAATTGTAGTACATGTAAATTGAATGTCTGGAAATAAAAGAAATTATTGTTTTATGTTGTTATTTTTAATCCTTATGGTCATATAGTCTGCAATTTTGCATAATATTTACTATGTGATTGAAGTTGAAAATATGGTATTGACAAGAAGGAAAAAACTTATTGAACGACTCTGCTTTTGTTTAAATTAAAACTTCCTTGAAAATCTACTTACCGCTATTTTAGTTCTCTTACATAGTGTTTCGCTTAAACTGAGGCATAGTTTTGATCTTTGAATGAATGTAGAGTTGCCGAGGTCGGAAAACTGCATTTTAAGTAACTTTAATTCCATTTTTCCCTTGAGATCTGAGGTGTGGAATTTTGTAATTATCAAAATTCGAAATCTTTAAGGAGAAATAATGTATGTTCAGTATTTTTAGCTCACCTGAGCTGAAAGCTCAAGTGAGCTTTTCTGATCACCCGTTGTCCGTCGTCCGTCCGTCTGTCCGTCCGTCTGTAAACTTTTCACATTTTCAACTTCTTCTCAAGAACCACTGGGCCAATTTTAACCAAACTTGGTACAAAGTATCCTTGGGGGAAGGGGAGTTTAAATTGTAAAAATAAAGGGCCAAGTCCCCTTACAAGGGGAGATAATCAAGAAAAGACAAAAATAGGGTGGAGTCATAAAAAATCTTCTTCTCAAGAACCACTGAGCCAGAAAAGCTGAAACTTATGTGGAAGCATCCTGGGATAGAGTAGATTCTAAATTGTTAAAATCATGACCCCCGGGGGTAGGGCGGGGCCACAATAGGGAATCCAAATTTTACATTGAAATATATAGGAAAAATCTTTAAAAATCTTCTTCTCAAGAACCACTTAGCCAGAAAAGCTGAAACTTATGTGGAAGCATCCTGGGGTAGTGTAGATTCTAAATTATTCAAATCATGGGGGTAGGGCGGGGCCACAATAGGTATTACAAGGGGGGAAGTCTGGTAATGAACAGCATGGCCAAAGTTACTCAGGTGAGCGATGTGGCCCATGGGCCTCTTGTTTTTTATCGAGGTAAACCCTTTTGATAATCACACACTATTTGTGAGCGAGCTAACATTTTACAAAATGTCAAAAATTATTCTAATTTATTATTACAACACATGCAATATTTTGCAGGAATGTGAATCGTCAGTTGAGAACTGAGACATTTCTTACTGTAAACAAAGCAGAATGTTGATTCTACATATGAAAATGAAATTCTGAATTGCGTTGATAGTTTCTGGAGTTAGTGTTAAAGCGTACTGCAAAATTTGTCAAAGTTAATTCAACAGGAAATAACTCTTTTCGTGCCTATTTATTTAAATACATGTACTTTGTACTACTTCCTAGTTCATATTTATTTTGTGAAGCACACTCATCGATGGAAAGTTAGAGATATGAAGAGATTGCACGATACGGATGTTGTCAATATCTCAAATTAATTCATGATTTATTTAGAAGTATACATGTATATCACATAGTTTATGGTTCTTTCGAACAACTTTAAGAGTGAAAGATGAAACAACGCATTGGAATATATCTTATATTTTTCTGTGTTCTAGAAAGGTTTCTCATATTTTTTTTTTTCAAATAGTTGTTTCCTTCTACCTACAGAAGACCTAAAGAATATAGAGGCAGAGAGCTTAACAATATAACCATTCATCCTTTAACTTTTTCATTAACCAACTCTTAGATTAGGTATTCTTTTTTTAAAAGATTGACTTATACCTTTAACTTTTCAATCGTCAACTTCCCTTACTTATGCAGCAATATAACCTTATCACCTGCATACGGGGTTTATATCTCTCAGTTGATTCGATACGCTAGAGCATGCTCTACGTATGAACAATTTCTAAAACGAGATAAGTTATTAACAAACAAGTTGATGAAACAAGAATATCAGCAGTCTCGTTTAAAGTCATCATTTCGTAAGTTCTATGGTCGATACAATGACCTTGTCAACAAATACAATCTTTCACTAAGTCAAATGCTGACAGACTTTTTTCATACTTATTGTTAGGCCATTATTTACGCACTGAATTGTCGACGGATTTTTCCGTTATTTCCCGATGATGACAAGGAGCACACGGCGGGTGTGACCGGTTAGCAGGGGATGCTCACTTCTCCATGGCACTTGATCCCACCTCTGATGTCTTAGAGGTCCGTGTTTGCTCTGCTCCTATTTTGTAATGTTTAATGGACCTTTGAACTACTCGAATACTTTTCGTTATCTCCACATAATTTCACCTTATGGGGACATATTATGTACAGAGACACATAACTCTAACAGAGTGAACGATGGGAAACTGGTGAAAACGTTAACATTACATTTTATGAAGAAAAAGAATCTTTAAACATGGTAAGGGTAGAAAAGTTTCTGATATTCTTGAAAGGAGCCATGTTTTCTAGGGGAAAATATATTTGAAAAAAGAAAAAAAATGGACTCTGAAAACTTTCTGCATGGTCCCCAAAATACTAATAATGCCTTCATATTTTGAATTTTAACAAGTGACTCAACTTTTTGCCGGAAGTGTTCAATTTCGGATAATTAAAATCCTCTTACTTTTTTTACTCAAGGTATTATAAAACAAAAATAGGATATGTGCTATTGAAGAAATCGATTTTCGAAAATCACAACCCACTTTCCCTCCTTTATTCATTGATTGTTTGACAAATCGGACAGGTGCTGTACGTGATATTTTTTTTTTATCGAAACACGAACTCGTTGTAAAAGTTGAGATGGATGTTAATAACAGTTGCTTGTGCATGTGTTTGCATATCACAATGAATTTATTTTTACTACACAAGTACCTGTGATTAGAACTGAAAAAACTTAATGCTCTTTAAAATCTTGATTTTCAGTAGTATGGCCTTTGACTTATTGCATTTTTGACAGAAAGATCTAGAAAGTACTTAACACTCAGAAGTATTTCTTTTCCTTTTACCCACATCTATAATGAGGGGCAGTTAGGCAACATGGAGAACTTTTTATATAGGAACAAAATAATTATCAATCAAAGGCAAAATGTTTTATGCATTAGTAAATTTGGGTGTATCAAGGGGTTCATGCAATACAAACGCATGGTTTTTTTTTTCAGCAAGTCTTTCCTATTTTTATGTAAATTCGATGTCTTCATGTAAAAAAGAATATGAATTTTTGTTTACTTACATTCTACTATAATGTATAAGATCTTTCCTATTTTTCTGTAAATTCGATGTCTTCATGTAAAAAAGAATACGA